GCAGCAAGGTGGGTAGTGGTTAGCAAGTCGCAAGGTGTACCTCAAGGTTCATCTTTAGGCCCTCTTCTATTTTCCATTTTCATCAATGACCTCCCAAAAGTTTCCTCTGACTGTCAGATTCATCGATATGAGACACTAATATCCTATGTATGTATATATAAAATCACATTGATGGTTTTAATTACCTTTACTATCAGGGATGTGTTCCTCGAGCCGGTCCTTGGCCTGTGTGCGTGCGTGTGTATATATTTATGTGTAGTTTTTTTATAAATTGAACAACTGATGATGACATTTACTCGACTTAATTTGCTTTTCGTTTCAAATTTAGTATTTATTATGGACAACATTTTAAATTATTTCTAATTAATTTGAACTATTTATCATTATTAGTTTTAAAGAACTCTGCAAAGATCCTTTGGACACCTCCAGGAAACTTAAAGGATCATAACATTTCACTCCCCATTTATTCTATTCTGAAGCATCACTTTGCTACCTCCTTGCTGATGACAAGCTGGGACATGGTTGGTAACCAAAACTCCATCCACATGGACATTCCAAAGCAGGCCCATTTATTAATAAATAACACAGTTTGAACGCAATCACAATTTGCCAAAATTAGTCATGAACAACTTATTTAACAGCATGATTTTATTGAAATGAGACATCCTTTTTTTTTCTCCATTCATAAAAGAGTGACTTGTTCAAGCATGTGGCACAACTTCCTGAATAATTTTTGTCTTTAATTGGCCTCATCTCATCAAAAGGACTACCAAACCTGTCTAAGATGTATCTCGTTCATCTAAAGAGACAGGCAAACCAACTAAACCAAGCAAAAACTTCCACAGAGAAACAAAAAAAATGTTCAACGTAAATCTGACGTACAATTATTTGGAGCGCAGTGTAATTTCAATGTAGAAAGAATTTTCCACCATGAATAAAAGATCCAGACAAATTATTTTAACCCTGGATAACCCAAGAACCCTTTTCTTCTTTGGAAAATGATGAATTATACATTAAATGACTGCTGTATGTTCACTGAACACCAAAATATGTTTTTTCAAATATTCAATGCTTTAATCCTAATTTAGGATTAGGGCCAAATTTGACCCTTTGGTATTTAAGTGTAGCATTTGAGTAGCAGAATTTATAGGGGCCAAATCAGACCTCGTGGGTTCTCCAGGTGTGCTTGTAGGGGCTTGTAGGGGCTTGACTGTCAACCATGACATTGCAACATTTTCTATTTAGTTTTGTGTGTGTGTGTGTGTGTGTATGTGGGGGGGGGGGGGGACGGGGGGCCGCGGTCTGGGGGTATGCTTTTGGATCCTTTCCGTTTGAGTGTAGAACAGTATTTTTCTGTTTCTGTAATATTTGTTTGTGAATTTCTGTAATGATGTTCTATCTTAGCCCATCTTCACTGTACAAGATATCAAAGTAGTTTTTTTATGCAAAGTGATATTACAAGGACTTCCGGATGTGACTTGAGGGAAATTTCTGCTCCTTACATAATAATTAGGTCAAGTGTCAATATCCGGTGTGTTTCATAAGTCAAATGAAAAGCATATACTCTAGCTCCGATTGCTCCCTGCAAAACTGAGCCTCATCACAGTGACAGATGTCACCCCTGTGGTTTTGGAATCCACACGATGGCATCAATATCCACAGGAAGCAGGAAATAAAGACCCCTGCCGTGAGAAATGTCAGCCATTTTACACTTTCAAGAACTTAAGAGCAGAATGGGTGCCTGTGGAGAGGCAATCTTGCCAGGGGTGAAGCTCCATCTAACTTGAACTTCTTTGTGGATTAAAGCTGAAGGAAGTTCTCATCCATTTGAACTGGCAAGTGATTTCCTCCATGGGGATTTTACATGAGGAGGGAACCTTGCACTTTAGATGCAAGGGTTAGGATTTAGTTTGTTTGACTAATGTGAAGACTCTGTAGTGTGCTTGGCGCATGTGACGGTTGCTCATGAGCATGAGGTATCCATGAGTGTTTCCATAGCCTCAAACATGACATGTCAAAGACTCTCAATAATAACCGCCATCCAGCACAGTAAAAAATAAACTCAAATACTCAAACTAATCCACAAAGTCAGGAAAGCTGTAGTCATGCAGTGCTGTTATGAAGTGATGAAACTTAATAGTATGAGTCACAGCAGGGCAAGGCAGGGCAGGGTAGCAGCGTCCAAGCCTCATGTGAAATAACTGGTCCAGTGTGAGTGCGCCTTTAGTTTGCCTCTCCCTCTCTCTCTCTCTCTCTCTCTCTCTCTCTCTCTCTCTCTCTCTCTCTCTCTGGTGAAATCGAGCGGGAAAAATTTAATGCTGCTTTTTCAAAACAAAACAAAAACAACAAAAAAAGCTTAAATGCATTTGCAGCAAATTTCGTGACATTTCACATCAACGAGGGCGCTCCTGCAAAAATACACACCCACTGGCTATTAATGATTTGTTGAGTGTGTGTCATTGGGCGACTTTGTTTCAGTATCATGAAGGTGAGGTATGAACTGTGGTGTCATCTTCTATTTGTTACATCAGCCCATCAGGCAACAGCCCATGTGTCATTCTTGCACCTCGACCTAATGCTAACAAGCATGGCGGCTATGTGAGTGCACGTAGAGGTGACCCCTGCCAATCTCTTGTCAATTACTGCAGGAAGAACTTCATTTCACTGGGCACGGCAAAAAGGATTAAGGCACAAGCTTCATTGTGGCGAAAAATGTCAAAGCAGATCCATGGATGTAAACTAAACAGCTTTGACTGATAGACAGATAGGAGAAGACGCCCAAATTCAGCACTGGGGAAACAAGGTCGTAAGACCCGTTTGGCATGAGGAAGTTACATGCACGCACGCACACTGACTCAAAATAAGTCCATTCTAAATCAAGGCTCAGTGACTTGAGAGCTGAGAATTTGCAGACTCACCAATGACACTTGTCGATGAGGCAGAGTTTAACTGATCCCAAACTGGGCAAATTATTCAATCCATAAAGCCAAGTCAAGTGTGTCCAATCACAAGAACGAAGCGTGTGATCTTCTAGATAGCCGTGTGCGCACACGCAACACTCGCTTTGCTCGAGCTCATGGCAAGGAAGCGTTCAGCAGCCTGTTAGCTCGGTCAAGCAATAAGTCCGCTCGTGCATTTTCACTTTAACACCTCTTGTTGGTCGACTGTCTGCCATCAAGCGTCTCAGCATAGCAGGCCTGCATCATTAACCAGATATAGCATCTCAACTATAGCACATGCCAAACTGAATCTCCCACATGTTGACTAAACCACAATTTAACTATAGAGTCAATACAAATATGGCTCTTAAAAAATGCAATGACATCACTGTATAAACTTACTGTATTACAAACTGTACTGATATTGACCAACAATGTCTGCAAGTGTGCAAACAAAACAACTAACATGCAACAATGACACCATTACAGCGAAACATTCAATTAAAACAGAAATCTTGGGCTGGCCACAAAGATGTTTTTTTTTTTTTTTTTGTCTGTGGTCAAAGACAGCTAGTTCATAACAACGAGTAAATAACTAGTAAATAATACCTCCTGATAACAGTCCAGTTTAGGTAACAAAAGCAATCATACAACATACAGTACAGCATTTTGTTCATATTGTGGCTGCAGTCATTCATGTACTGAACTGCATAGTCGCTATTTGTGGTTCAGCCTTTATTTTTTTTCAAAATGCATTTTAAATTATAATGAGAATATCTATTTATCCCCCTCCCCCCAGTAAGAATTGATCATTCAAATAATATATATTATTATGATTGAATATGAAATAGAATACATATATTAATAGCGGGATTCAATTTTAAAATTAGAAGCTTTGTAATTAATATTATTTTATACCCCACCCCCAAAAAAAACTATTTGTTACGTTCAATATATTGTTCATCGTTTTTTCCACTCGTGTACCTGTAAAACTCAGTCGATGAAGGAACAGTGTTTGCTGTTCCACTTGTGTCCTGGAGATGTCAGTCGCACTCTTTCAAACTGTTGCTGACTATCAAAACAGGTCATGAAGAAGAAGTCACTTCCGCCATCTGTGGGCTGAGACCGTTAGTTAGTGCTACAAACAAACAGCGCTCATGAAACAACGATGTCCTTCTTTGAACTGTGTTTGCTCAACACCATAAATTTCAGTTTTACAGAAGCCATGTATTTTCTACAAGTGTTGTGAACATTTATCTCAGTCATAGCAAATGTAATTAAAACCACCAATGTGATTTTTCGTGAGGGAGAAAAGGGAGGCATTTTTCTGAGGTGTGGCACTTTCTTGTTGGCTGCGCATTCAGCAATGAAATAAGATGTGGATTTTTTTTTTTTTTTTTTTTTTTAAGGAAATAGTGTTACACACTAAAATTCACTTAGGGTATACATTGTAGATGTCCAGTGAAAAGCATGAATGTAAACAAAGTAGAAGATCCTTGCTTTTTCTAGGACTTAAATGAATTGTAATTTGTCCTTGATACCGCCCCTGAGCAAACGATACACATTTATGCTGAGATAAATTAACACATGCTTTGAATGCACCCTGGCATATTCTGACATTTCTCATTCATAATTAGAAAGATACATCGATATTTACAAAAAGCACGTTGCACGTGTGTGGCAGTGTTTCAGAGCTGTTTAGCACATTTGACACTTTGTGATCCCATAATAAGCAGAAAGCCAACGCTAATAAGAATTCAGTAGGCTTTTATACGTGTAAGTTCTTGTAAGAGGAGAAGGGCATAGCACCAGCTGTGTTAAAGTAAGCAACACAAAAATCATTTAAGTAAACACTTTTGGAGATACATTTGCTTCAGGTGAAACATGCTTTATCAAGCAACTATAACATCTATTAACAGCGTTTTCACCATCTCCTACTCGAAAATGGCACTGATATATATTTTTTTTAATTGTCACAAGACTGCCCTGTGATTGACTTGCCACCAGTTCAGGGTGCACCCCGCCTATTGCCCGAAAACAGCTGGGATAGGCTCCAGCATGCCCGCAACCCTCATGAGGATTAGAAAATGGATGGATGGATGTCATAAGACAGTTAAAAGAATTTACTGTCGAGCTCTGAGCTATCTAGATTCTTTTTACCTAAAGCTGAGCATACCTGTGTCAGTCAAGCCCATGTCAGCCCAGATTTCCAGTTGACTGTCACGGGATGACTGGATGAACATGCTCACCTCTGATAATGATTGTGGACAATGTGAGTTTTCATCCTGAAGTAAGGCACAAATGACAAATGAGGCATGTCTTTGTTTTACCGTTAGTCCACCAAAATCTTCGATTTCATTCAATACAGTTTTGTATTGTGTATGTCATATTTTGTAAAAAATAAAAATGACTCCTTCACGGATTTCATATATCACAGGTTATTTTTGGAACTGGGAAAACTGTGTCAAAAAAATATTTGGGAAGAGGGGACATACTTTTTCACTTCACTGTAAATATACACACAGAGTATGTGACAACGTAATGCCTAGTGTGTCCCTATCAAGCCTATTGTAAAGTCCAACAAGAGCACTCATACAGGTGTGGTCCTCCTGTTGCCGCCATCTTTCACATCTTTCTGGATGTTGTGGACCTGTAAGAAGCCAGAGTCACTCTCAGGACTGTATTGTCTCGCCCCTTTCAAAGGGTCCCTGCGGAAGGTGTAGAGGGATATGTCTCCCACCTGCAAGCTCATCTCCCCGCCAAAACCTCCCCCCCGCTTTAGCCCTCCCAGGGAGGGCTCGGACGACCTGAAGCTGGAACGCGAGCGCCTCCGTCTGCGGTGGTAGCTCGGGATACGCGCATACGGCGAAGAGCAGGCGGTAGATTTGATGAAGTCGCGCCTGACTCGGCCGCGTGTCTCTTTGTTTTTCTCGATGTATATGTTGACGGCGAGGACCCCCACTGATTCTGCCACTATGAAGGACAGGGCTCCAAAGTAGAAGGACCAGCCGTAGTTGTACTGGTTCTTCTTGTCCTCATCTTTCTTGTCGCTGGGATCACCGGCGTTGCTGGAGATGTAAACAATGATACCGATGATGTTGCTCAGGCCTGGAGAGACAGAGGAACAACAAATTACAAAACCTTGCCACAATCTGGATCGGGACATGACTAAAAGTACATAACCTTGCTTGACTGAGGTGCAGGGGTGGATTGGTCATCTGATTTACAGGGCAGATGTCCAGTGGGCTGGCGTATTCTGTCCGATGCGGTGCTATTTAATTACAATTTTTTTCTATTTTACCCCAAGAGACTGGCCCACCGTTAATCCATTTACAATATAGAAACCAAGCAACATCAGCAGCAAAGCTACATGGTAACCAGGAGTCATGCAAAATTGGTCTAATTTTCATTCCGTTTTTTTGGTCAGTCCGGCCCTGCCGAGGGGATGGTTGGGTCATGTTATGAAAGACATCCGATGTAAAAACTGTGCCGAATAAAACATACAAGCAACTGAAAGTCGAAACTACTTTCACAATGGGTCTGGTTAATATGACTTTTTTTTTTTAATGTGTGTGCCATTTTTAACATAACTGTTGGAAGAGAATGATAAATTAGGAAAAAAAAAAAATTGGAGATGACTGAAGGTTTCCTCGTGTGTGTCATTACCTGCAGCCACAAAGAGAATACCAGCACTGAGCAGGATGTTGTTCCTCCTGCTGTAGATGCGTCCGACGCCAACGCACAGGCCGCCCAGCATCAGCAGGATGGTGCTGAGGATGGGGAAGAGGCTGGAGGCTCGCACGATACCTGCCGACGTGACATGGTGAGGAAAAAAAAAAAAAAGGAACGTTCCTAATTGAAAGTGCCGTGTGAGTGACTCATAGTCAATACCATTTATATTCGGTGGGGACAACAAAAGTTGCAGAATTAGTCATTTGCTTTGAGTCATTTCGGTGCTTTTAGCCGATGATTGTCAATGTTGACTCAAGGTGGTTAGACAGGATTTTTTTGGGGGATAACTCAAGAAAATGAATTCCATCAATATATCTGGGATGTCATTAGTATCTTAGTATTACAATGATTTGACCATTTTCCTTTTATTATATAGGACGCGTTTACATTCAAACATTAGTGACTGTCAATACTAAAAATAATTCCAAGAATATTTAAACAAACATATGCATAAAGAGAAATTCAGTAAGGCAATCCGCGTGTCAACCATGATGCAATGTACTGTAGCCAAAGGAGATGCAGTACTCAAAGAAATGTATCTATATTTTTCGGTACTGTTTCGATTGATTAACTTGACATGAATCAACATGATAGGAAAATCTTGCTTGGGAGCATTCGGCTGCAAACCAGATGTAAGCTGAAAAATGATGTGGATCACCAGTTTTTGTCTGGGTGCCTTTTTTTTTTTTAAACCATATTTACATTTAATTGCGTGTCACATAGGTGACGTGATTTGAGGAAGGCCAATTAGTCACGAGCACAGCCATTGTCATCTCTTTTGAGCCAATTAGTGTCATGACACCGAGATTTAAAGGGGGCCGGATGGCAACGTCATGACTCATGAAGCACCCTTGCGACGAAGCCATCGGCAGCTCTTGACAAAGGCGAGAGGACGAAGATTTGAAGTGTGTGAAGATGACGTCCAACGCACTCACGTAGGATGTACTCCGAGCTGTCTGTGTCGTAGTCATTATCCTCCGGGAAGTGATTGATCCGAAAACAGCTTCCTTTGTGGATACCTGCATGAGGCAATGACAAACCGTGAAAATATTGTGTCGATTGTAAGATGGAATGCAAGCAATAAATTCGCTTTTCCTCTGTTTAACCTCTCGCACACCTGCCCACATTTTAAGAACAGCCAACTCAGGATCTGCGTTTCCGAAAGTTGTGGAGCCCTCAGGCGCCTTCTCTTCAAAGTCTTTGCATACAAAAAAAAAAAAATTTTCTCCACTTTTAACAGAATATGGGAGCATTATTAATATTCAATACTTGACTTTCAGTTCGATGTCACATGGATGACCCATAATTCTGCCTTTTTGCATCACCTCAATGATGGCTATCGACACATGGGTTGACTCTTATTTATCTTCCTTACTTGCTTTCTAAAAAGTTGAGGGTCATTATCCACCTACACTGTAAAACGCTGTCCTAATAGTTCTTGTGAGCACCTCACAGTTCATCGGGCTACCTGTGTCACTTCTTCAATACGAGACCAATAAGCATCTTCTATTGACAGCCATACAACCTCATGCCAAATCGCTGCTCACACCATGTTTGACGCAACGATGTGATATGCTTTGGATCGGGAGCAGTTGGGTTCCGATTCTAGAATTGTCTTTTCCCATCTGACAAGTTGATCTCGGTTTCAAAGAACATGATTCCAGACCAAGCGGGGACTTTTCTGGAGAAATTTGACTTTCGTTACTTTGAACCAGTTGTTTGCACCATGTAGTAAACTCTTTGTATTTGCATTCAAATTTGTAGGTTTAGGAGAGTGGTAAGTATTTTTTTTACTAATTATTACGTTTTTTTTCCCTCCACTATGGAAAGGATTCTGCTGTCACCCACTTTAGTTGCATTTTGTGTCTCACTAATGTTTTCTGTATGGTTATGAAAATACCAAAACAGTTCATTTGATCAAACTATGTTTCTGCTCTCTCGCTGACATCATATTGGTGGGACCTCATATTGCTGGCTTCTGTTTAACAGCTGCCAAACTCCTCAAAACTCAAGGTGTGACATCGGCTCCACACTTTTAACGGCTTATTTTTTTCTGAATATATTTCCCAAATGCTAAATGTTCACATTGACTTTCAGCATCAGTTCTCCATCTTTGGAAGACATGCTCACCAGTATCACTTCCAAATATTGTTCTGTTCTTTCTTTTGTTTACCAAACAGCCGCGTTGGACAGATGTCACTGTGTTAGATTTAAAACATACTTGGATAGATGAGTACATGCACATTTATAAAAGCTTTAATTTTTGGGGGATAATTGTATTTTTCTCCCACCTGAGCCCTCCGAAAAGGTCCAGCAAACAGCAAAGAATGCCCAGCGATAGTCACAATAAAACAGGGAAAGAAAGAAAGAAATCGAGATGGATGCGGCACAATGGAAAACACGGAGTTAATAATAACATTGGGATGGTGGAAGAAAAGGGTAAGGAGGAGGATCTCGGGGTTTGTCTCCCTTGAGGCAAGCCCATCTTTTATTAGTCAGCATAACGTCACCGTGGCAACAACCTCCCCACGGCAAACCAGAATCAGATTTCTTGCTCGACCTCTCACAGGATTTCTTTGACATCTTAACTAATGGGTTGTGTGCACGCACACACACACACGCACACACGCGCGTGCGCACACACACACACACACACACACACACACACACACTGGCTTATATTAATTTCCTGCAGACACCATGACCACAGCCACAACTTGCCTTGCCGTAAAAGAGGAAAGTATCCACAATGAACACTATCTGTGTGGACACCTCATTAGGTACACTTGCACACTGTAATTATAACCAATACACAAGAAATTAGGAATGAAAATGTTGTGACTGGCTGGGACTGTGTTTTGCGTTTGGTCCTTGATGCTGTCAGTCGCTACGGTCCTTTTTGTTGTCACCTTTATTTTGTCAAAGAGGATTTGGCATGGCCTGATGTCTCTGAGTATTTAAGCTCAAGTTGTCTCAGTGACATGTCAGAATGTCAAGCTTTCTTCCATGCCTTCCGCATTAAGCCCTGTTCTCAGTTATTACTTTGCATTTTTGTAACTTCCGTGTACTGTCTCCTCTTGGGTCCAAATTCTGTTCCTTATGTCACAGAAAATCCATTGAATAATTGTTATCAAGCAGAAAATTGAGTTTTCCTCCCATCGCCAAACAAAATTCCGATGAAGTTGGGACATTGTGTTAACCATTAATAAAAAGAGAATACAATGATTTGCAAATCGTGTTCAACCGATATTTAACTTAATACACTACAAATACAAGCTATTCAAACTGATAAACATGATTGTTTTTAGCATATCATCATGAACTTCGAATTTTAGGGCTGCAACACATTCCAAAAAAAGCTTTGACAGGTAGCAAAAAAAAAAAACACTTAGAAAGTTGAGGAATGCTCATCAAACACCTGTTTGGAACATCCCACAGGTGAACAGTTGGGCGCCATGATTGGGAATAAAAGGAGCTTCCTTGAATTGCGCAGTCATTCACAAGCAAAGATGGGGCGAGGCTCACCTCTGTGTGAACAACTGCGTGAGAAAATAGTCGAAAAGTTTCAGGACAGTTTTCCTCAATGTACAATTGCAAGGAATTTAGGGATTTCATCATCTATGGTCCATAATATCATCAAAAGGTTCTGAGCATCTGGAGAAATCACTGCATGTAAGCGGCCAGGCCGGAAACCAACATTGAATGCCGATGAACTTTGATCCCTAAGGCATCAAAAACCGACATCAATGTGTCAAGGATATCACCACATGGACTCGGAAACACTTTGTAAAACCACTGTCAGTGAATACAGTTCAGTGCTAACTCCATAAATGCAACTTCAAACTCGACTACGCAAAGCAGAAGCTATTTATCAACAGCACCCAGATACGCCGCCGGCTTCTCTGGGCTTAAGCTCATCCAAGATGGACTGATGCAAAGTGGAAATGTGTTCCGTGAAAAGTGTTCGGACCAAAATATATGGGGGTTATTATGCCTCCTGGTAGGCAAAAAGAGGCTTCTGCTTTCAACCCAGTCTGAATAAATGTTTGCAGTTGCAACACTCTGCGCTCTCACATCATGATCATCCTCCTCCTTCATAAAGATGTGTTTGCCACATGGGGGCAAGCCTTATTGCTTCGACATGAGTAGCCAGCGTGCCCTCAGACTCGGGCTTTATTTATCTACTTCATTCGCCCCAACTCAATACAATTAACTGTAACAGTACAAGCCATCCTTTCTTTACCCCCGTCATAGATTAGAAAGAAATGAATAAAATTAAAGATTTGGTACATGACATGGGCAAATTCTAGCTACTGTCCATCCCTTTGTATAAGACAACAAATGAAGCATAAATATTCGTGGCAGGTTGTCTGCTAGTCTGTATTCGTCAAAACGAAGTTTATCATGATTGCACGGTTGTTTGAGGTAACCACATCCACTCAGTAGCATCGAAGCTTCTGTTTTCATGTCTCTGTAGCTGTGATCAGCGTGTGTTTGTGTGGATATGAGACACCTCTTCAAAGATGGGAGCTAGTAAACATACGCCAAAAAAAAAAAAAAGTCAGACAGATGCTTTAAGTGTGGCGTGCTCTCCGAAGTGCTGCCACTTAAATTTCGCTCAGCGCAAGGAAGCATGAGAGAGGAAATGCCTCTTTGAATTTGAAAATGGGTCTACATTTTTCATCCAATTCCAGTAAGAGTGGAAGCCAAATACAAAGCAACTGCATGCAATTACCAAATGGTGTCCCTCATTTTGTCATGTATTTGAAAAACACAAACAAGTATGTCTTTTTTTAGTTATGAAACATAATCAATAATAGCTGTTGTAAGGAAGTTTACTTGGATCTGAAATTTGCTTTGGATCTGAAAGCCGTAAGATTATCATATGATGTCACCATGGTAACTTCTGCTCACCCACATAATTGGTTTATAATATTAGCGGACCAGCCAAGACACCATATTTACCGATGTCCATTTTTATCCATCACAGCGACTTAAAAAAAAAAAGATAAATATAATGTTCGATTTGATCATTATATTATTCAGTATCATTATATAGGATGAACTGACCAATATTATGGCCATATTTGCAAGTCCAATAAAAGCACTGTTGCAAATCTACCTTTTTCCAATGAAAATATTTGCTTTTGACTGACACAGCCAGATAGGCATTAATTTAACATGCTCATTAGTGTGGTGTATAGAACGGTAATTCTGATGATAACTTTGGTTCTCATGCAACTAATTGACGTCAGCAAAACATTAGTCAAAGCTGTCATAATGACGAGGACGAAAATAACGACACCAAATTACTCGCCTTTATTTTGGCATCTCTAACATCCCCAAAATGACGTGGCTTGTCACCTATAACGTTTTACTGTATTTGATTGAACTCCGATTCAACCTAAAGCAAATACTTTACATGGAAGGAGTTAGCAAGTAACCACATCGCATATTTAAGGCCAGATACTAGTTGAATACTGTACTCATTGAATGGACTGTAGCAAGTGTGCTTTGTGCGCAACAAGCAAGATCCAGTGCACGCACATCCCGCCCATGTCGCACACAATCTCGTCGCTCCGTGCACAAAAAGTTGTTGGTGTTTTTTTTTTTGTTTATTTTTTACCTTCTATACAGCAGATCCTCCACAGTCCAGAGTGCGTCAGGTCGCCTTTGACTTTCTTGCTCTGCGCGTGGCTTTCGTCCGTGCTGGCGTTGGTGGCGTTGCAGATGTACGCCCGAGAGTAGAGCCAGTAGTCAGTGCCGATGGCGATGCTCATGAGGCTGAATGCGGCGAAGGCGCCCGCGACGGCCAGGAGAGTCTGGAGCCCGCGGTCACACCACGCCATGGCCGCGCATCATGCGTGTAAATAGCGTTCAACAAAAGTCCGCCACCATCGTCACCACTTGGTCTCCCATCGAGTCAGGTGTCAACTTTGTGCTCCTTGTCCATCCAAACTTCAGTAAGATGACCAGGGTAGGCTGAGCAGGACCATCCTTCCTTCAAATTTGAATTTGGCTGGACCTTCCTAATGGCTTATCCAGGTGGAACACTGGAATAACCCATCAAAAAACCTCAGAACACCACAGCTGCCTTGTTTGGAAGTGCAAGACACAGAATCCAGACCCACCTAGACGTCAGTGAGATGCAGCCAATAGGAGAAGAGCTGAGCAGAAGAAGAGAAAAAAAAGTCACCCTACAACAGGGGTCGCCAACGTGGTGCCCGCGGGCACCAGGTAGCCCGTGAGGACCACACCAATAGCCCGCCAGTGCTATGATTGGGATTTGCTCGTACAAATTATGATTTCAAAATGCAAACACAGGCAGTGTTGTGAGACATCTTTCAGGTGATCACAGCCTGAAAATTAAAATCATTAAGTATTAGAAATATCACATTCTAATATTATTAAATGTAATTTGTACAAATGTTATTTCAGACGTGTATCACTTTGGTAGCCCTTCACACAATCAGGACATATGATGTAGCTCTCACTCTCAAAAAGGTTGGTGACCCCTGCCCTACAACATTTTCAACATGTAGACATGCCTGATAAAAAAAAAATGACAAAAGGGAAGAAAAATGACATCTTAAGAGAAAATTTGATTCATGACTGAGACCCTGCTGCTTTAAGCTGGGTGAAATATTTCTTTTCCGAAAAAAAAGGAAGACTCAATTTCATATTTGACACGTGATTTTTTTTCTTTTTTAATGGACTACTTGTCGGGCTGACTCGCTTTAGCTGGCTTGCTTGTGCCTTTTTCTTTTTCATGTTTTGTTTTTTGCTTTTCCTTGCTGATAAAATGAAGGCAAAGATATCCTGCCGGGTTAGAGTCTGAGAAGCAACTGTCGCAACAGGGGACTCCATCAGGTCACTCCAGGGTGTGAATCCCTCCCTGTACCTTTTCAAAATGGAAAAATTGTGTCTTTTAGTCGACTGGTGGACTGAAATATTTGATCATGAGTGAAGGAAAGGAGCGAGGTAAGGATTAGGAAAAACGAGTGCCTGATAAAGCCTTTGGAGATGTATGAGAGGCAGGACATGCAAAAAACTGCATTTGCATGTTGTCCAAAGAGCAATCCCATGTAGAGAATTTTTTTTGAATAAAAACGTCAGCACTTAAATCCTCTTCAAATGTGAGAGCGGGTAAGAAGATTAAATGAGAAGGTATACTAATGTGGAAGGCACAAGATGCCAGAGTTAATCATGCTGGTGCAAATAAAATCTTATAATTTAGTCGCATTGTATGTCATCATGTAAATGGGCAAAGGAAAATGAAAGTTTGAATTTCCTGGTGGGCGTCCAATGGATCAACTACATGTGTCTTTGGCTCTGGTAGACAGAGGCGGAGCTACATGGTGGCCGTTCAAGTGAACTCTTTGGTGTAGATCAGGGGTGTCAAACTCATTTTTGTCACGGGCTGCATTGTAGTTAGGGTTTCCCTTGGAGGGCCGTTATAAATTTTGGGACACCATATAAATGTTTCATCACCTCCACATATTACATACACAGAACACAACAAATGGATGAATAACTAGTTTTAAAATCAGAAGTCAAGAATAATGACTGTTATTGTGGCTTATATATGACAATTTGAAATTTTGGTTTTGACTTTAGCAAGCATCAAGGAACTTGACATGCTTGATTTGCTTTCGCGGGCCACATAAAATGATATGGCGGGCCAGATCTGGCCCCGGGCCTTGACTTTGACACCTGTGGTGTAGATTAAATAGTTTTGCCTTACTGCCATTTCCACACGTTTGCATTTCACTCCATACATTCAGATTGATGATCCATCTATCAACCTTGATACTGGGAAGCTAAATCAAACATCCTTTAATCGCAATCCTGTGTGACTGGAGGACAGTAGGTAGACAATCCTCAAAAATATGCAGCAAAGTACCTTCTGTAGGGTTATAATCCCCCCCACCCCGCCAGATGGGTGTGCTCTTGTTTGATAGTTGAGAATGTTAAAAATGGCCTGAAGGTTTGCTAAAGGTTTTACGAGGCCAATGGGTTATCCTTGGTAACTGTTTATTTCGATTCCAATGATTTATTGTGTGTGTGTTTGGGGGGGAGGGGAGGATGAGGGGGGGAGGAGTTATTTCTAGATCCAAACATATCATCTCGGAAAGGGATTTAGTTTGATCAGAGGAATTTAATGTATTTCTATTTTCATCTTGAACTAGCTTTAACACCTCGATCCTGAAAAAGGTTAGCAAGCAGCCTTGCTATGCGGTTGGACTTAAGGGAACACGGTGTGTCGTCTCACAGCTTCCATCTTGCCAAGGATTAAACCGATATGACTCTGCTAGGTCTAAAAAGGACACGGCCATCCTCTAGTATACTTTGGAAGTTGCATCACTTGAGGCACTCAGTGGTAATCTGGCGACAAATTTGGTTCAGTACGCTACCCCCGTATGTCATTTTTGTTTCCAGTGTAATTGTTGGCCTCTAAATATTCAACCCAAACCATCTTTTCTATCCTTTTATTCTGGTCTGGTGACAATCATCCGGTTGCGGTCGCCATCACTGTGTACATTGCTTTACTCTTCGTTATTGAAATAATTGTTGAATTAGATGATGTCACACTATCTCTCCGGGACAAATAAAGGTTATCTTATCTTATCTGCATGAATAAGAGACATTAGCTCTCAAAGCAAGGCAAAGTTTATTTGTAGAGCACATCATTAACCATGACTTGTGCATGAGCAGAGCCGTATTGTAGTCTATTCTCTTCGTGACAGGAAGCCGGTGCAGAGACCTGAGCAGTGAGCTAATATGCTCATATTTCCTGGTTCTAATCAGGATGTATTGCATCTCAGTTGGAGAGCCCAGTGAGCAGTAACCAACCAGATGAAAGCAAATGCATGGGTTCGTTTCGCTAAGTAAGGTTTAGATACTATTCCTTTGATGTTGGCCATGTTTTTAAGACGGTAAAAATATGCGGATATTATTGATTTAATATGGCTATTAAAATTCCAATGTGTGTCCAATATTACTACCGCTAACCTTCTAGCTTCACTGTTACATTTTAGGAGAGAGTCTCAAGTTGACAGATAAGATAAGATCAGAAAACCTTTATTTGTCTCACAATGGAGAAATTACCAATTTACAGCAGCTAAATTATGAAAGGGAGAAAGTAGAAGACAAAAAGAACACTTTCTCTTCGTTGTTTCTATGAGGCGTGGACGATGATTTCAGCTTTGTCTGAGTTTAGCTCAAGAAAATTGTTTTGCATCCACACACTGATGCATGCTTGTGATCTGTACTGCATTCTTGTGCTTGCAGATGCGATTTGTGTGACCCGTCTAAGCACAGTGCGTCTACTTTTTTTTTTTTTTTTTTAATTCAAGTGTTGAGTCAATACATTAAATGCTCCAAAACTTCCGGGTGTACAGAATGAACCAAGGGGCTCAGGCTGTTCCAATGGAAAATGAAAAAAAAAACCCTCTCAGAGAAGTGAGTGGTATTTTGCTTTAGAAAGATTTTGTGAAAATTCAGGCTTGTTAAGCTAAATTGCAGAGTAAATGGGGAAGATGGCAATTAACATCAGATAAAGGCAAATTGAAGCTTTGGATATGCAAATACTCGACATAAGGTTGATCTTAAACAAGCAGATAAAGGTTTGGAACTCGTAGCAAGTATCCTCCTTCCTATGACATGCTCCTAGAAAGTGCAATTGATGATTCAACTTGCCTGGCAGGGTGCTTCCTGACACCCAGTGTGCCAGTGTGTGTGTGCTGTATGTAATAAATAGCACTATAAAAGTACATAAGAGTGTTGACACTGATGGTGCTGCGTTTCCTTGAGGCGATCCTTAATAGCATCGAAAGTACATCCACTTACAAAGTTGTGGTTTCCTTTATAAGTTGCTATATTTTCTCAGAGTGCAGGTGTACTTTAGATTTAAGTTGTACGTGGGATATAAATACACCAATATTCAGGCTGAATCAATCTTGTGATCAAAGTCAGCAAAACCCAGAATATTTGGTTATCTCAAAACAAATATCCTAACTCCATACTAATTATCTTGACAGTGATTTTTTTCTGCCTGATTGCTTCGAAGGTGCTCAGGGCAACAATTGTAAACGTTAAATTTGTTCATTGATTTCAATAGAAAATCCGTGTACCGTGTCTCCCAAGTCATTCACTCAAATAAAAATGAAGGGTGAGTTTGCAATAGTAATGTAGTAGCCAGACCAGCAAAATTATCCTAGCCTCTTCTCCATGCCCTGTGGCACTATGCTGCCTCTCGTAGGTCACTCATGGTACGACAAGAGACACCTGGTTTGAGGAAGGAGATTCATTTGTCACTGATGATATCATTGTGTGTGTTGTGTTGGTCAACTTGAGTACAATTGGACATGATCAGAGCAGTTAGAACACACGGCAAATGCAGGATGTAAATTTCTCACACTGACACAAAACAAAAGGTTAGGACAATGGAGGACTGTGGATTCAGTATCTGGTGCTTTAGTGGGGACCCACCTCACTGAAGCTCTTAACTTGACCTCGTAATACCGCCACTGTCATGTCGCAATGATATAAACAAGCAATACAATACAAAAACTAAAATAAGAACAGCACATCACCATGCCTCGTACATCATCTGGAGCAGAAAAGACCTTGCTGCTGGATTACATTTTGGTAGACCCTTTACGTTGAGGGGGGTGGGGGGGCATTAGGTGAACATTCAAAAGTCTATTTTCAGCCAACCCCAACAACTCATACCTCATATTTAAAACCCTGGTAAGGGTTTTCCAAAGCGATTATTTTTTCAATATAACATTATAGGATAAGGTAATGACCCAAAAAATGTTGTTTTTTTTCTTATTATTGTAAGAAATCACCACGTCATATTCTCAATAATAGTTTGTTGGTATTCCATCTTTTTACCTGAGTAGTTATCTACTTAATTAGAGGGAGCACTTTTCACAGATTACGTTGAAGACCCTTAGAATGTCACCTGATGCAGCAGTAAATATCATACTGTTGTGTGAACTAAGATGATAAGGTCATCTTATTCGTTGTTGTAGAGTACTGTATTGAAAAAAAGAAGAAAATTAACAGGAAATTGATTTCTTTTTTTTTAATATGCGCCTCACGCTGCTTGATCGCTATCAGAATT